TTGAATCGTGTAAGATAAGACGGAAAGTGAATACTTTACGAGATATTTTGAATTTTTTCATATTGCAACTTTGGAGCTTTATAACTCGAAAAGTACTCAATGAAGGAACATTTCATTACAATGTTTTGGAAAGCTCTCGAGGTCAGCTACAAGAATATGTAATAAAAAATAGGGGATGCCGTTTAAAAAAATTGAGGTGACTTTCATGTGACTTTCAAATAATTCTTCAAGGTCAAAGTAATGGTACCATCTTATGCTCTCCTCGAAACCAAACAACTTTTGTCTGAAAAATTTTTCTCTCCCGTGCTTGGTTTTCGACATATTCGACTGGATGGATTAAAATGGTCCACCCTGTATATGTTAGTTTTATCTGCAACAATTCTCCTAATATGACGTTTTGAAACAAATATTTTTTGTCTTAATGCGTTAGATATATTTACTATTAATATATTATAAGATATATAGAATGTGTATTTTCTATTAATATTCCTTCTAAAATTATAAATTTTGCTACATTACACAATAGTTACAGCCTGTCTATCTATACACAATCTGTATCTTAACACAAATACAGCCTATAATTTAAAACTGTACTTTATTTAAATGTGTTGCATTGAATATATTATTTAAATAAAAATAATTAGTAATGTGAGAATGAAACAAGTGCAATATGATCAAAAGCTTACCCTTTTCTGATTAGACAAATGCCTAATCTAACGTACTGCCCAGAACAGTAGTTGAAACTAACTTCTTCTTCTTCACAAAATTTGTTCCAGGCGGCTTGCGACACTGCCCCAACACCATGCAAAAAGTATGACGATTACCTGATTTGCGATATACGGAGGTGTAACGACTTCTTCAAAAATATATGCGGTCACAAAGAACAAAGCACGAGCACGCACAAACGCGTTCGGACCGCTCGGGGACTCTCACGAGACTTATGCACACTAGACGCGGTAATGCTTGCCGCGCGGCGGAAGTTTGCGCGACAGCCAATCAATATGCTGCTTTCCGTAATAACCTTCTAGCTCTTACGGAAAAACAACATATTGATTGGTTGTCGCGCGGCGGATGTTCTCGCGATAGCCAATCAAAGTGCCGTTTTTCCATAAGAACTTTCCAGCTTTTACGGAAAGCGGCGCATTGATTGGCTATCGCGAGAACTTCCGCCGCGCGGCAAGCGTTGCCACATCCAGTGGGCAGAAGCCATTAGTAGAAACTAATCGACGTCGATTTGACGTCGATTCGATGGGCTATTTTTCGCCGGGAACTTGCAAGTGTTTCTCAGGACTTAGGCCGGTATTCACAGTCGGATGTTATATTTGAGATTGTCTTAAGTTCATCTTCAGATGCTTCGTAGCCAATGAACTGAGCCGTACAATATCTGAAGATAAACGACAATCTTATATATAAGATCCGACTATTAATACCGGCCTTAGGAGTGATGCCAGATTCGAGCGAATTCGATATGGTTCTCACATATGCTTGTCGTGTACGTATGCGCTGTAGAAACTTCCACAACGTCACGTAATAGAAAGAGACAGAGATCAGTGCAATGTGACACATGATGTGACTTATTGGATTATTATCCAATAAGCGTATTACTTTTACGGAAAAGCTGTACACACACTTTTCGAAATACTAAATGGAATCCAAACAATCACTCACAAGTTATGTACATGAATAATTATAAATTAAGTAGAAAATCGAGTCCCATGTCTGAGTAAATCTCTTAGACGGAACTTTCCGTACGCATGTGTGAGCATATAATCTTCAAGGAAAGAATGTTTTAATACAATAAACTATTTGTTATTATCTTTCATGTACAAATTTTGCATAAACATTATTTTATTATAGTATTTTATTATCAAAGCATATTAAATTGTTGTATTCATATTATATTAAATATTGGAATTTAGATTTCGCAATGTCTCTGAAATATTAATGTTAAGTTGCTACAAGTATGCTAGTACATTGCAAATCAATATCTCTGCAATGTCTTGGTAATGTTGCATTGCAATCTGCAACGTTGCAACGTTGCTGTAATTTAGCTGCAATGAACTGTGCTGTATGGGAATTTTGAGTAAATGAATATTATATATATACAGGGTGTTCGGAAAGTACCGGGACGCCCGAATATCAGGAAAAATATAAGTTTTACAAAAAAATGTTTCAGACAAAAGTTGTGGGGTTTAAAAAGATGTATTTACTGATCACATCAGTTTGACCTTGGGTTGCGTAGCGATGATGAGGTCAAGGTCACATTAATTTTTTTAAATGGAACACCCCATTTTTCATTGCATATTCTTATAGCACATCTCGAGAGCTTTCCAAAACGCTATAATAAAATATTTTTTC